ATATATGTTTTTTATTTTATTTTATTTTATTTTTTTAATTAATTAATTTGATTTTTTTCTTGCAGTCATTTTGTTCTCGGTCAGTGAGAGCTGGTGTTTCCAGACCTCATGATCATTACAACAATCCCCAAACAGTGACTAGGTTGCAAAAGGGAATAAGTTCTTTAAAATGTGTCTCAGTGGTCAAACATTTTACTTCAGATGTGACCTCGTTGTGCTTATCAGTGTATGAGAGACAGTAAAAAGTGAAATATGAGTTTTCTTTTTTCCACATGAAGATAGTACTGGAACAAATAAGACTTGGACTACCTTACTTTAGATATTTGTTGAGCTGATCTAGATTTTTATTAAATATTTTCATAAAACGGCCATAGTTCATTTTTACTTTTACCTGTTTACCATTTTCTGTCAAACATTAACCTCTTCAGCACAAAATCAAAATTTAATGGCAACAGAATCAAAAGAAATCAAGTCAGAAAGTAGGAAAAAAGTGCAACCACAGCACTATTGGGTTTTGTCTCACAAAACAATCATGGGCATGCACAGAAAGCCTTAGTATCTATACAGGCACACAGCCTCATAGACCTGATGTTGATGTGGTTCAAAGCCAGATGTTGACTAACCGCTCCTTCTTTCTCTCATCCTTCCCTGTAGACTCTAGCTTGCCATGGCGACGGTAGTGATGGAACAGATCGGCCGGCTGTTTATCAATGCTCAGCAGCTGCGACAGATCCCTCAGCTGCTTGAGTCGGCCTTCCCAACGCTGCCTTGCACTGTGAAGCTGTCCGACGTTCCCAAGGTTTTCCAGGAGCGCCACATCCTCTCCGGCTACAGGCAGACGGACCAGAGCTGGCGTTACTACTTCCTCACCCTTTTCCAGCGTCACAACGAGACCCTCAATGTGTGGACCCACCTGCTGGCTGCCCTCATCATCTTAGTAAAATGTCAGGAGATCTCGGAGACGGTAGATTTTCTTCGTGACCCTCATGCTCAGCCCCTCTTCATCGTCCTCCTTTCAGCCTTCACCTACCTCTCCTTCAGTGCTCTTGCTCATCTCTTCTCTGCCAAGTCGGAGCTCTCCTACTACACCTTCTACTTCCTTGACTATGTCGGGGTGTCTGTCTACCAGTATGGGAGTGCTCTGGCACACTACTACTACGCAATAGAGAAGGAGATGCACACTAACGTTCGAGGGTTCTTTCTGCCCACCGCAGCATTCCTGGCTTGGCTCACTTGTTTCGGGTGCTGCTATGGCAAGTATGCCAGACACGACATGCCCAAGTTTGCCCACAAGGTCTTCCAAGTGGTGCCCTCAGCCTTGGCTTATTGTTTAGACATAAGCCCTGTGGTTCATCGCATATACAGCTGCTACCGGGATAGCTGCTCCGACCCCATCGTGCCGTACCACATCTACCACGTGCTCTTTTTCCTAATCAGCGCCTATTTCTTCTGTTGCCCGCACCCAGAGAGTTTGTTCCCTGGCAAGTGTGACTTCATCGGGCAGGGTCACCAGATCTTTCACATTTTAGTGGTGGCGTGCACCGTGCTGCAGATCGAAGCGCTGCGAACAGACTTCACGGAGCGCCGCCCCTTCTATGAGCGTCTCCACGGAGATCTCGCTCATGACGCCGTTGCACTTTTCATCTTCACCACCTGCTGCAGCGCTCTCACTGCTTTCTATGTGCGCAAGTGTGTACGTGCCTCCCTCCAGGAAAAGAAGGAGTGAGATCGTGAAGAGGGTCAATTCATTTTATTCTACAGTGAAAGTTTTAAGTAACTAATACGTTTTTGTCATTAAAATTATTGCTTTGTGACCGTGACTTATGCTAACTTCTTCTCTCTGAGATCTGCCAAATTCCAGTGATGTGAAGTGACTGAGGATGTGTTTTTGTGACTTAAAAGTGAAGAAAATGGCTTGTAACAATTCTGTAGTAATGGAAGTACTACTCACACAGCAGCAGTTGCATCTAAAGTAATCTGTAACATCTGTATTCCTCTGCTAATTATTTTTAACAAGGATGCGTTGAGTAATGGTCTAAATGAATGTTTTACTCCAAGAACTGTCTTTCTTAGGTTAGCAGAGAAAATAAGAGGCCTGTTGATTAAAATGCCTTCTTAATTGTATTTTAAAAGTATTTGCCTGTTTTAATCAAATTGTAGCACTTTCATGTTATGCAAGTGTTTATTTAAACAAGTCGGTTAAACAGTTTGTAGAGCGCCACCAATCCTGCTAAACCCCGTTTTTAAAGTATGATGCAGAGAAGATTTGATTTATTACAAGAGACTTCAGATCTTTTTGTGAGGGGTTCTGTGGAAAGGTTCTGAATGGTTAGTATCGTACCTGTTGTAGATGGCTCTTCGAATGACTTCACTTTGGAGAAAAAGTTTAATTTGGACCAGGTTGACAAGCTAATGGCTAGTCTGAGCGGGACCAGGACCAAAAAGGGATTCTGGTGTAGCACGAGGCAGTTTTGGCAGGGAAAGTAGAATACAGTATAATTTAATGATAATTTCTACTGGAATATTTGTGTAATCGCTAGCGGTGTAAAAGTAAAATAAAAGTGTTTATGTGAATATGAAATTGTTGAGTTTGGAGTTGTTTAAGTTAGCAGCTAGCCTATTTGGTCTTGGCTCTGCTATCCATTCAGTCCTGTCAGATTTAAACTGTTTTTCTCCAAACAGTTTTTTTTTATTGATCCCATTTTTCCCAGCTGAACTCAGATCTGAGACTTTTTCCATGTACACAATAATTAACCTTTATTTAACCAGACAAATCTCACTGAGATCACAGATCTCTTTTGCAAGGGAGGCCTGAAGGCAGACTAACATGCATGTTTTTGATCTGTGGGAGGAAACGGGAGTACCTGGAGAAAGCACGAGAAGAACATGCAAACTCCACACAGAAAGACCTCAGGTCCAACCAGGCATTGAACACAGGACTTTCTTGCTGTGAGGCAACAGTGCTAACCACTGGTCCATTGTGCTGCCAGACGGTTAGCCTTTTTCTCTATTCTCAAATCTGTGTAAATCTGTGTTACTGAGCACGTCTCCCTTGCTGAGGTAATCCATCCACCTCACAGACGAGGCATAAAGCAGGACGTCCCTGCAGTCAGCATGCCAACTGCACACTCCCTCAAAACTTGCAACATCTGTGTCATTGTGCTGTGTGATCAAACTGCAACTTTTAGAGTGACCTTTTGTTGTGGTCAGCCTAAGGCAGTAATCCTGCTGTCTAATCAGCATCTTGATATGTCACCTGTGAGGTGGATGGATTACCTCATCAAAGGAGAAGTGCTCGCGAACAGATTTTGTCCATAGAAAAAGCCTTAAATCTTTGAGTTCAGCTCATGAAAAATGAGAGCCAAAACAAAAGTGTTTATATTTTTGTTCATTGTAACATTTTTAATTAGAACTCCACTTTGAAAGATCTGAACTGTCCTTTTAAGGCGTCACCACAGTGCCCCACACATTCAAACAAAAGATGAACGTTTAGGAATCAAATTGAAAACCAAATCTATCGTACAAAGAAGACAATTTTATTATGTGGACGTTAACATTTGTTAAAAATGAGCCTGTTACTCTATATTAGTAAAACGGTATGCAATATGACGGAAGTCATTTTATTTGTTGTTGGGATAACAAGAATTATACTTTCCAATTATTAGTCAAAGGGCTGAAACTTCAGCTTTTGCCTCACGTCCCATGATGTCAGTGCTTTGCGTGCATGTTTCCATTAGTGGGTGATGAGAGATGAGTCACACAAGCCAAGTTTGTTCTGCATTTAGGATGTTTTTATTTATTTATTTGTATTTATTTACGTTTTCTGTGCCTCTACGCATGTCCTTCGGTATAATCTGTGCATATTAGGTGTGTGAATGTCAACGAAAACCTGCACTTGTTTCTGTAAATAAGTTGTTTTTCTCCAGCATCTTATTTTTACTGCGTCTCATTGCATTCAGAACCGTTTAGTTTTGGGTTTACTGCTGAAACACGGTACATTCCTTTATACGTCGTCAGACTCTTAACACAAACATCTTTTTTTTTTCATACGCCGGTACTGTTACTCTGAATTTTTCTTTGACTTTTTGAGTTTTTCTTATAAAAACCTGGCTGCACTGAAAATGTCAGTTCTTTATCACAAAACCCGAAATGTCAGAACTGATCAATATTCATGACCTCACTCTCTCCTTGGTGGTGTTTAACGTGCCAATGAATCTGTTAATATTTCAGCGATGGTACTACTGAGAGACTGTCGGACTACGAGGAGTTGGCCTTAGCCTGGCTGCTTACATGTTTCTGCTGAGATTCACACTTCCACATATGAACCTTGGTACTTTTTGACATTTCTGACCTGGTCTCATTATGCACTGCCCAAATCAACACTGCACACCGGCTATGTTTACATGCATGGAAACTGTTAATCCAGTTGGTCTGGTTTCGTGTCCATTCTTTTGAAAATCTAAATCATTTTATAAAATCTGTTCTCCTGCCTGCACCTTGTTGCGAAGATGTAAATGTGAATAGGTGATTTTTTTTTTTCTTTTTTTTTAGATGCAGTTGAAAGGTGGTTATATAGGCAAATGATTTCCAGTTGGTAAATGATGTCTGTGAACCTCTCACCAGCTCAGTTTGTACAGAAACAGAAGGATTATTGTTGAGATCAAAGAGACCGGAGCAATAACTAGGGACTAGTTTATATCCTACGTGTTAAAGGTGGACAGGGAGTTACTGAAAATTGAGCAGGAGCAGTTTGAAAGTACCCCTCCTGTTTTAACTAAAGTGTTTTTAACATCATGGACAGTCTGGCTGTTTTAAGTTACACAACAATGGACCTTGAATAGTCTTCACTGGGATATAGCCAGCATTGTGTATGTGTGTGTAAACATAGCCCTGGATACCATCTGATGTTTGCCTTTGTTTTTTCAGAAAAAGCAGAGTCCGAGGGATCAAAATGTCTTCTGTCTCAAACAATATCTGTAACTGACTGTACTAATCTTATGTGGTATTTAAGGAAATAAAGTGTTTCTGTAACTGAAACAATTGTCCTTTTTACTTTGGCTATGCTTTTGTATGTGTATTTAAATATTAAATGCACTATACTTATAGAATATCTTTCTATCAAGACACTCAAAGTGCTTTACAACACAATCTGTGTCCTCATTTATCCATTCATACAGCACTCTACTAGAACTCTACAAAGAATAATCAGTGCTTTATCACATTCATACACTGATGGGACACACATTAGAGACAATGAGAGGTTCAGTGTCTTGCCCAGGGACACTAGGGCATGCGACTGCTGGTGGAGTCGAACCCTCGACTGGTTAGAGCAGTCGTCCTCCAATCCAACTCGGCCACAGCAGCCCCATTTAAGTTTTAGAGTTTCATAATTAATAGTAAATGAAAGGCCTTGCATTCCTTGAGAGAATAGATACCAACCACCTGCTTTCATGACTGTTTGAACCTGAGATCCTCTTGTGCTCATGACAGTTTTTGGTGCTTTTGCTCAACTGGTCTCCCACAATGATATAAGGATATTCTCACGCAGTCGCTTGGCGCTCTTGAGTTTGTGTCGTGGATGACTCTCGGCTACTGTCGCACCAAATTTTAGCTCATTATTTGTAAACTTTACTGAGTTACAGCCATTTTTGTGTTGGCGTTCTTGTAGTTGGCTGCGGTGGCTACCTTGAACTGAGTCAACTACAAAAGTAAATACACAATGTACACAGTGATTACTTTCCAAGTCATAAATAATTGCATGTTGCCTCACTAAAAGCATTACAACCAGCAAGATACTTCCTAACTTCAACATCTACTTAAGAAATATAATTTCAGGCTGACATACAGTCATGGTTTCTTTCTTAGTATTAATGGTTATATAGAATATCTGAAGTGTTTTAAATGAGGGCTCCACTAGAACTGGTAAATTTGGTTCACTGTATGGACTGGGGCTAATCTAAACCACGAAACTGGGCCAGTTCAGTTAGTCAGTCTCGCTGCACAACCATCCCCCACCAGCTGCCAAATAAATATATAAGGCAAACACACATGCACACGCATAGAGCATATTTAATCTATTTGGTAGTTCAAAGAGCCATCTACAGCAGGTAAGATACCAATTGTTCAAGACCTTTCCACAGAACCCCACTTCATAAAGGTCTGAACTGTTGCTTTAATTCAGACCTTGAAATTTTAAAGCAACTATATGACAGACTTTCAAACACCCACCTAAATGTTTTGTCCAACAAAACAATGCAAAATTATCTGCTGCAAACTTCATAAAAGACAAGATAAAACTTTATTGTGTACCACAAATGTGGCAGAAATTCTCCTTTGAAACGCTCAACATTCATCATACACACACAACAACAATAGCACATAATAATACTAATAAAAAAGTGAGTATGTTGGAAAAAAAATTACAATTAAAAAACTATCTGAAGATGTTTTAAAAAGGAAATGGTTGTAACTGTTGCACACCTATGAATGTATGTGCATCAAGTATTGGAGAAAAATTTATTTGTTCTACTAAAAACAACGGATAAAATAAAATTATTGAATACAAGTGTAAAGTACGTTTAGTTAAAATTAGACATGATAAAAGTGGCACGGTGAAGCTGGTAAAGATGATGGATGGACATAATTAAGTAAAAGTTTATTTGTTTCCCTTACCTTCCTAACTTTCCTTGATTTTTGGTTGCAAAAATATTTTATTAAATTACTTTT